CTTTGACTAATTCTGGTTTATAATTTTTACCAAGTTCAGCAAGAAAATTGTTGTAAAACGGTTCTGACTCTTGTGCAGGCATAGCCCTGTGGAAATCTAATCTATTTCCCTTTAGATTATGGTATAGCGTAAATTGACTAATACATAATATTTCGTATTGTTTATCCATAACATTGGCACCCCATCTTTTATCATTATTGTCATCAAAGATTTTAGTATTCAATATTTTTTTTACTCTAAGACAAATAACAATTTTTTTTATTTCATTAGATATAACTACACCTTATAACATATGATTACTACGATATAAGGTAATGTCATATATTACATATATTTTATATCCTCCAATGTGTCATCTCTTTTTATACCAATTAAGATGCAGAGACCATTTCCAATGCTATTAACAATTTCACCATTAACTGAAAAATTATGCTGTAACTATATTAACGCTGTATAAGATATATTATTGTTACTGTATAAGCAGGTATTTTTTTAAATTACGAATGTAAGCAGATGTTTTCAAACAAATATATTCTGATTTTACTCACGCCGCATAAAAAATCAGACTAAAAAAATAAATTATACAAAATATTTTACATAAGTTTTTGTTCCCTATTACAGTATTGTTTAAAATACTTTAGAAATTAGAAAAGCGAAAGTACTTATTGTCATGATAATTTATAGAAAATACTACATACTGTAAAATATTCTTCTATTTTTCGAAGGCAGTAACATTTAATTTTCTTCTGATCTTTACTTATTTTTTAATGGATGATAATTTAGTTAATAAAATAAAACATGCATAACCTAATCATTACCTGATACACTAGCTTTTGTCACTCGTTGAATTACAGCTTTCATATTGAAAGTGACGTCGCCCCTTATATCGCGGGAACGATTGTAATTGTCAGCGTAACGCTGTGAACTAATTTTTTATGTGTAAATATTCGTTTTTAAATAAAATACGCTATGTCTACATCCGCTAGTAATACTCGACAAACGAACCAATAGGAGAGTCACTAGTCGCTACATACACTCAGAAAGCTTATTTCCGTGTATAGACTTCCTGTAGTGCAGTTTGACTTTTCAAAGATTGTTTACAAGGAAATTGTAGAGTGCATAATCGTTTGAAAAGTTTAGTAATCTCGGAATTGTTTACAGTGAACCTATCGAGATTAATAAACAATGAGCTTCTTAAGACTTTATAAACTATTGTGGAAGTTAAGATTGTAGTTCAAACTGATTTTCTGTGACCCACTTGTTGCGTTTAGGTTATGGTGTTATAAACAAAAATATGTTGGACTTAAATGTTTGGTTTTCATGATAAATTCTTGCATGCCAGACTGTAGGGATGGAGGGCCCAGGTCTGAGCTTGTTTCAAGGCTCAGAAAGTATTCAATTAAATACAAGTACCCAAGGATTAGAGGAGGATGAAGAACAAGAAGATATTAAACGACGTAACAAGGAGGTGTATCTTATTTTGTGTTTATTTCAACAGGGTTCCAACATAATATAATATCTACAATCAATTATATTCTTCATTATTTCAATTTAAAATAAGTAGGTATAATAACTCCAATTGTAACACGTATCCTATTTTAGATTAAGGATCTTCTGACTAATGCATTTGATGACTTGGATGATGATGATGATGACATTAGCTCTGTCAACAGCAGTCATTATCAAGATAGTACTAAAGAAGTAGAGAATTCAAACAAAGGAATAAATTCCTGTGTTCAAGGAATCATATCACCTAATGGCCAAATAGTTTCTGAGTTACGAAATGAATTTGGATTATATGATCGTGAAAATTCAAATAACTACGAAAATACTATGACAAACCATAGGTCAGAATTGGAAATTGGTCCTTCAATTTCTGATATACAGAGAGATTTTAATATGTATGGTCAGACAGATACGCCATATTCCAAGAGTAATAGAAATGAAGATACCAATAATATGACTGCTGAAACGCCCTATGAGTTGGCAAAACCACAGAATGCTGGATTTCCCAGAGATTTAAGACCACAATTTGATGAAAACTATACATATAATGAAAATTATCCTTATAATTATCAAACGCCAGCTAATCATTACGATGCTCAAACAAAAAATTATTCAAATAATGGATATATTGATGTTTATGAAAATAATGTACAATGTAGACAAATTCATGAGTTTGGTGGTGGAGATAATGTTACCTCTGACCATGTAAATCATTGTTTCAAAACAGGTTCAAATGGTAGGCAACAGGACGATAATGTAGCTTATAAAACAGCCGAATATGAGAGCAAAGAGCAATTGGAAGTTTTATATACAGTCCGAATGAGAGAAATTAAAAGATTAACAGAAGATTTGCAACAATTACGAGAACAGAAAGAGGAAGAAAAAAATCAATTTACTAGAAAAATTACAGTTTTACAAGCAGAAATTGAAAGATCAAATATTTCCAGAAATCAAACGCAACATGCACTAGGTAAAATTTAATGAAATCTTAATGCTATAATCTAAGTACATCTGAAAATATCATGAAGATTTATATTTTTACAGTTAATGCAAAAGCAGAGATAACTGATCTTCAAAATCAAATAACATTGTTCAAAGAAAAGAATGCCGTTTTAGAAGAAAGTAATCAAAATGTAAGGCCTATTTGCAGTAAATTATTTTAAAATTAATAATCATGATCCAATTAAATAATTAACTTACATTTTATGTTTTAGATGACACAGGAATTAAATGTTGCAAGAGATTCTGTAATAGAATTGCAACAAAAAATATCTATATTAGAAAGAGTACAAGCTTTACAAACAAATGACAAAACATATGAAAAATTCCTAAATCAAGCACAAGAGAAGCATGCCGTTGAAATGAAAAATATGCAAACTCAAATAAAAGGTCTTGCAGACAAATTAAGCGCAAAGGTATTGTTTTACACTAAAGCTCTTATTCATACATGTTCACTCTAAACAAAATAATATTGTACTAGAATTATTGTACTAGAAGAAAAAGTTTGTGTTTATGATTTTAAGTATATATAACATTAATATTTGTCATAGCTGCTCAATGTGGATCCCAACACTCACTGTATATGGGCAAGTTTCTGATATTGTTTTATCCAAAACATTATTTTCTGACTGTTTCTACATATTGACAATATTAAATATTAAGAATTATGTACATTATTTATTTTATTGCATGTTGATACAAAAAAGGTATCAAAATTTACAGCTTTGAAGATATCACTGTTTTTCTATACTGCTTCTTCATTATTATTATTGTTATCATAGCTGTGCTTAAGTCGCAAATACACAATAAATGAGCAATGTTTAACCTCATTATCTTTTATATTCACAGGAAACTTCATATGTTATATTGGAAAATAAATTAGCAGATGTTCGAAGAGCACACGAGACGCTTATGGTTGAGAAAGGAGATACCATGAATCGTTTAGCACAAGCATTAGAAGAAAGCCAGAAGCAATGCCGCAATCTTATGGCAACAAATAATGCTCAACAAGTAATGCAACTTCAAGTACAGATTAGGAATCTATCACAAGAAAAAGAAGAAATGCAAAAGATGATTCAAGATTTACAGGTATTTCATCATATAAAACTATAACTATTAACGATGAAGCAACTAAATTCTACATAATTAACAATGTATTTACAGCATAAATTAGAAGTGGCAAACAGTGATGTAGCACAATATGATTCATTGTTGGCAACAACATTAGAGGACGAATCTGATTCAATTAAACAATTGAAATTAGGTGAATTTCATAATAAATCAAAAGTGAAACCGTGTGAGGATATCGCAAATAAATTAAGGGGAGAATTGCAAAGGTAATGAATCTATATTTAGAAAGTTACTTTTGCTCTAAATTGTGGTTTAATTTCACACCTAATACTGTAATATTATTATATAGGTGTTTGGCTGGTCATGCAGTTAAAAGGAAGGAAATAACTCGATTAGAAAATACGTTGTCACAAAAAGCAAAAGAACTTAATGATGCTTTAACGATAGCTGATACATGTCGACAAGAAGTTGCTCAATACGCTAAGCGTGTTAGCGAATTGGAGCAAGAACTGAAATCTGTACTTACAGATCAAGCTATGAAAGCAAATTCCCAAATACAAAAATTGTCTAATCATTTGAGTGATGTAAAAAACCAATATGATTCTTTGCGAGAAGAAAAAATTGAATTAGAACAGAAATTAGAGGAAACTTTGGCAGTTAACCAGGAAACACTTAAACAATTGCACCAAGAAAATATAAATAAACAAGAGAAAGACGCCATTGATGAGTACAATAAAGAATATTTAGAAATACATGCTAAGGCTGTAGAAAGAGTTAGACAAGAAGCACAAATCGAAGTAGTGCAATTATCGTAAGTATGAAATATTTGTAATAATACTTCGTTTAGTAGAATCACATTTATTTTATCATATATCATATTTATTTGTAGCGTGCAATTAGAACAGACGCAGAAGGAGTTGGATCGTGTTAAGGAATTGTATATAGATGTCTGTAGTACAAAGGAACAATTAATAAGTGAACACAAGTCTGAAATTGAAATGTTAAAAAAAAAATATGCTACCCTAGAAGAACGTGAACAAGACATTGAAAAATATGAACACGATTTGCAGATACAAATAAAAATAGCGGAAAAATTGACACAAGAATGCGACACATATAAATGTAAGGTAATTGAATTAGAAAAAGATTTAAGCTGTGAAAGAAAGAAAAAAGAAGAATATACAAAAAAAATTCATCAAGAAATTGAAAGAGGTAATATTGTTCTTAAAAAATGAAGAGTTATGTATTAAAAAAGCAACACACGATATTACAATAAAATTAACTAATAATTTTATCTTTATAGCTAAAGAAGAAGCATTAAACGAATTACGCAATGCTCATCCTAATCAGGAAATAAGTCTACTCTTGCCAGATCATTGTTCCGAACATTTAGAAAAAATTAATCAGGTACATTTTAGTATAAACTTATATTGTATATGTAATTATGTTATATATCAAATTTTTTGTTTTTATAGTTAGAAGAAGATTGCAAGCGCTTAGAAGAAAAATTGCACGCTGCAGTTGACGATCACAAAAAAATATCGGAATATCAATCCGAATTGGACGATGCTACGTTGAAAATAGCACAAATAGAAATTTCTCAGGAATCTTGGAAAAAGAAATATGAGAATGCAATTAGCGAAAGAAATGATCTAATTGCTAGAATTTCAAAACTAGATTCTGAATTGTTAAACATCAAAAGAAATTCAAAAATTGAAGATTCTGATGATGTAACGTTAAAAGTGTCTCGATATCAAATGGACAACGAAGCTTTGAAACATAAATGCGAGGATCTATTCAATGAAAGGAATATTTATAAGGAAAAAATTTCACAGTTAGAGACAGAATTATTAGAAACCAAAAAATTAATTAGGACTTTCCAAAAATGATTCAAAAAAACTAGCGAGGTATCTTTAACTTCCAAATGTGAATTGGAAAAAGAACTTTCTCATTACAAAGATCTGGTAACACAGTTAAGTAGTAAAATCAATTTGTTAAAAGCTGGCAGAAAGAGTGATGTGGTAATGGAGCAAAAAATCAAGCAATTGGAAAAAGATTTGCAAGGTAAAGATGAGGAGTTGGAGAGACTAAAGGAATTTGAGAAACTGAAAGAAGAAAGGGATCAACTTGTTCTAAAATTAAAAAATCAAGCTAAACAATTTGAACAATATGTTAAAAACCAAAAACAAGTATCAGCTGAGTTGAATCTATCGCCACGTAGCTCGAGTGACGGTACAGATTTTCAAAAGATAAAAGAAATTATGATAAAAGAAGTACGTGAAGAAATGGAACAGAAAGTAGTGGATGAGCTTAGGGGTATAGAAGAACAGCATCGTGAGAAGAGAAAGGAATTAGATGAGCGATATAAAATCGTTTTATTAGAACTACAAACCAGGTATAATGAAAAGGCGCAAGAAGTGGAAACTTTAAAAGAAGCGATACTTACGGAAAAGGTAAAAATTCATTCATCTTTCAAAGCAAAGGAACAATTTGTTAGTCAAATGACTGAAACTTACAACAAAGAATTGCTAGCACGAAAGTTGAAAATCGAACAATTACAGGAAGAGTTAAAACAAAAAGAGAATGATGTGGAAGAAGAGAGAAATTTGATGGCTCAGGTAATGACTAAATGGGCTGCAGAGATTAGCGAGATAAAGGATAAAGAAGCTGAGATTAACGAACAGTTGCAACATCTAAAAAAAAGCGAAGGAAGTCTGAAGGCAGAAATAACCGAACTAAAAGAAAAGGAGAAAGAAATGAAAAGTTATATTGATACATTAAAACATAAGTATGAATCAGCAAAAAAGACGGCGAAAAATTATAAGGTAATTTTTCATATCAAAATAAATAAGAATATTGTATACTTATTAGTAATTTTACCGTTTTCAATTTAATATATAAATTATTTCAGGAGTATGCAGAAAATAAAGACAAGTTTTTGTCAAGTGAATACAAACGTATAGAAGAAGGATACAAAAGAGCCATGAATCAAGTACAACAAAAGCTTGAAGCAATCGTTAGTACTCAAGAAGAACAAGTAGCAACAAAGCTTAAAGAACTTGAGTGTCAGTATACAGAAAGGATAGAACAAATGCGACTTACACTGAAGTACAAAAGTAAATGTTAAATTATGTATTAATATTTCTAGTATGCAATATAGCTTTGGTAGTTTAAATGCAAATCGTAGTTAGAAGAGGCTAGATATTTTTAATTTAAAGCACTTTATTAGATGAACAACACTATTAGTACAACACTATTAGAAGATTTTTATTTTAGGGACCAATAAGTTAAAATTGATATATGTATATTCATAGAATTATTAATGTTCGTTTGTTGTATTTCATTATCGCAACAGCAAACGTCAATGTAATTTTAAAAACAAATGCGAAAGTACAATTTCCCGGTTAATACATAGAGTAACTAGATAAGAATTGAGATCTATACGTTAGTTAGAGAACAAATGAAATTGTAAAGAGACCATTTTTACGATTATTAAGTATTGCATAATTTTATAAATTGTCTATATCGAATGCATAAAAAGGTACTCCGGTATAAGTGAGATAGAAACTCTTAGTCACATGTTTTCACCGAACATTATGACATAATATTGTAATGCAAGACTGGATCTGT